AGCCTATCCAAATCTGGTTTAAAATTAAAAAACTCTGGTTTTTTAGCCAGATCACTAAGCTTTTTAGTGTCCTTTTCACATGGATACCTTGACACTAAGATGTTTCGGGCAGCATCTTCATAATTTACTTCTTAGAAATTAGAATCCCACTCACAATTTGTTTACTAGCGAATTAATACTGGGAGACAGCAAAAAAAAGTCTGGTTAGATGACATTTCCACCACAGTATTTCTCTTTTTTGTTTTTTGAGATTTCATTTTCTATTTTGAAGAGCGTTTTTTTCTTTAAATTTGACAAATTTAGTCCTTTAGTTTATGACCCTCATTGCTGTAGCTAATAATAGTAATATCATTACACCTATAACATTGTTCGTCAACCATGCCTGTGTTAACTTTAACGCTATTTAAGTAATCATAATTATCATTTATTATAGGGTGAAAATATAATAAATGCTTGTGTTCTGCAATTGCCGACAAGCTTTAATATATTATCCTTGTAATCAAAGTTTGATAACCGCTTAAGAAGTTATCAGCCCCACCAAAAGTGGATGAAAGTACAAAAGTGTTTTTGTTAGAGTCGATAATTGTATACTTGGTTGAACTTACTGACGCTTTTGACAAACTTTCCTGGCGTTTAGTGTAAGTGGTTTTAATGCTTTTATTAACCTCGATTTTTTCCAGTAACCAAATCATCGTAAGGAAGTGTTTTCTATGTTCTTACCCTAAAATATGCTTCCTTACTTCATTAAAGATCTAATTCGATCATCAGTCATCTTACAAATCGCTTCAATTTTAAAGTTATTTTAATATTTAATAATACGTATGATAAGTATAAAGTTTTTTTAATCTATTATCGTTTACATTTCTCTAAATATATGGTATTACCTCCGATGATGTCGTCAAAAATAACCACTAATTTCTAAGATAGTTTTGTGTACCAAGCTAAAGAACGAGCTATGAATAGTATTATGAATAATAATACATCAGTCAATAAGTCGTACGACTGACACACAGATGGCGCTGCCACTGTGAAATCTATATGACTTTTATGAAGCATCAATCTTCAAAAGACTATGTTTAAAATTTCATGACATTTCGATTAGTCAGGAAAAAGTGACAGCCGTTTAAGTGAAGCTACTTTTGTTATTTTCAAAACAATGGATTGAAAACAATTTCGTGTGTTAATTTATCATTGCTTCTTGATAAAAAAATGCTGTACAAGAGCAGCAATGACTTCAAAAGTGTTATCCGGACTCTGCTCCATCGTAAAGAACCATTTGTTATTGATTTGCTTAATTTAAACGTGGTCGTACAGGCACCGATGATAGTCAACGTTCTGGTCGTCCAATTGAGGTGGTTACTCCAGAAAATTTCAAAAAAGTTCAGAAATTGGTTATATCTGATCGTAAATTGAAATTGCATGAGATAGATGAGACAGTGAAGATATCAAAAGGCAGTGTGTTTAAATTTATGCATGAACATTTGACCATGAGAAAGGTCTTTTTAAAGTGGGTGCCGCGTTTACTCACAGTCGATCAAAAACATCAACGTGTTGATGATTTAGAGCAGTGTTTAACCATGTTTACACGTAATAAATCAGTTTTTTTGCGTCGATATGGATGAAACATGGATCCATCACTTCACTCCGGAATCAAAACGATCATCATCTGAGTGGATTGCAGCCGTTAAACCACGTCCGAAGCGTCCAAAGGCACAACAGTCAGCTGGGAAGGTTATGGCTTCAGTATTTCGGGATGCACCTATCTCGAAAAGAGAGAAACCATCAATAGTAACTACAACACGGCATTACTGGATCGTTTGATAGCAGAAATTGTGAAAAACCGATCGCATATGGCGAAGAAAAAAATTTTGTTTCATCAAGGCAATACACCATGTCACAAGTCAATAAAATTTGCACGAATTGCACTTCGAATTGCTTCCTCATCCACCGTATAGTCCAGATCTGGCCCCCAGCGACTACTGGCTATTCGGTGATCTCAAAAAAATGCTTTCCGGTAAGAAATTTATCTGAAATGAAGAAGTAATTGCTACAACTAAAGCCTATTTTGAGGTAAAAGACATATCCTTCTACAAGCACGGCATCGAGAAGTAAGAGAAGCATTGGAGTGATTGTATTGCCCTTAAAGGAAATTATATTGATGAGTAAAATCGTTTTTTGGCAGAAAAAATTTGTTTTTCTTAGTTAGTCACCCGTATTATTGACTGATGTGTTTCTTTACTAATCTATGAACATTTACATAAATATATAAAAGAATATAAAATAAATAATATTAAATATAATATATAAAATACAAGAATAAAATAAGATCTGTATCCATTTTAAAATTTGCCTCATTTTCCCCACGTGTATTTTCCAAAGATTAGTCTGTAATTGTTCTTCACATGACCTACCCGAAAGATGATATTTTCTGTGTTTTTTTAATGGAATGTTGTCAGACTAAGCTCTGTTCTGTGGCATAATGGGTTTTTAAAACAAAACCACTAGTTTGATTTGTTCGCTCATTCCATTTGATATTTAGAGCCTAGTATTTAGTAGATATAATCATGTCCATGATTTACCTACATATGTGTATAAGTATAGTATATGTAATTGAACATTGTAGACCCTTTAAAAAGATCTTCTGTAAATTACTATACTATACTATATTTGTTATATTATACTATATGCTCATATATACTATATGTTTTGGCAAACTTAAATTCATTTCATATTTGATCAGGATTCGATAAATAGTATGAACTTGTAAAATATTTTTAAATTTGTTATATTTTAAGTAACATATAAGTAATTGTCATTACAATTATGCAGATGCAAACGCAGCTGAAGGAAACACAAATTATTTTTGATTTGATTATTTGCCATGTAACTCCTTACAAATGTATAACTAGGTCATAAAAGCAATTGACCTAATTATTATATATAATAAAAAGTAATTGACAAAATATAGTTATTGCTTATACAGTAACTCTATTATTATTTGTATTGGAATTGTATTATATTGATTTTTACCAAACCTCACTTCATAGTAAAAACATTGTAAAAATATAATCAAAAGTAATTCAACGAGTATACTTAATTTATTCGTGTGCATAATTGCATGATTTTGAAGAACCCAGTCCCTGTAAAATGCCACATCTGCATAAACGCCTGGATACCCTACACCACATTCGTAGCCGAAGGAAACTATTCCACTTAAAAACTTATCGCATATAAGAGGACCTCCTGAATCACCTTGGCACGTATCCATTTCAGGTACTTCAAGACTTACCGCACATATCATACCTTCTTCAAATTCAGTGATAAAAATCTTACAAGCAGTTCTAGTTATGGTTTGTAAATTAACATATAAAATATTATCTGGAGATGGACCAAGCTGAAAGTAGGATTCATCAGATTATAATTCATCATAATTATAAATTGTAATAGCTTGTTTACGAAATAAGCAGATCCCCATCCTCCAGTGATGCACTTTGTGTTGGCTTTAGGTGTTTCTCTTGCTATTGTTATTGCCGCAACAGTTTTGTCATCCAATATAAATTGACCTTCTAAATGCAGGAGACCTACGTCTGCAACTGTCTCAATTGTTGAATATGATGGATGCACAAAAGATTTTTTTACATACAAGGTTTGTGTAGAAGTCGTGACATTTAAGCGGTATTTTGATCCAGCAACTACATACATACCATCAACTGGAATTTTTATAGTTGTCATGCTGAGTTAAAATTTGTTAATTTATGTATACATTTTTATTTTATTTGCTTTATTAACTTACGCATGGACTAGACAATGTGCAGCTGTCACAACACAACGTTTTGATATGATAGCACCACCGCACATATGATTATCGCCGTATGCTACTATAGGCTTTCCTGTTCTGATAGAAACCATAAATTTTGTGAAATAATTGTCTTGTATTCGGTAACCTCCTACAACTAGATGCGAAAAATCTTCATCATCATCATCCTTATACCCACGAATATGATTAACACACAGAGATAATGTCACAAAAAAAATGAGATATCTCATTTTATCAAATATGTTATTAATATTTATTTAGGAAATTAAAATTTTTTTTAAAAGTTAGTACAATATTGACAATTATATCAAATATATCCTATTAAATAGAAATAGCGCACTCGAATTTATAAATTTACTAGCGGACCCGACAGATGTTGTCCTGCATGATATACTAAGCGATTAGGATACAAAAACAAAGTAAGAAATGAAAGACAAATAATGTAGATCTATCCCACAAATCGACATTGTTTGATCTTGTGACTTTTTAATAGTTATGGCAAATGCCAAGCGAATTGGAAATTGTAGATGTCTGAATGGAATGGGTGAGTCTGAAGGGATCATTGGGATTCGTGCCAGGAGAACAGCTGCTTCAAGTATATTTCCCAAAAATTTTTTTATAACTAATCTCATGCCGTTAATAGCTTAGGTGCATTTAAATTCCGCTGCATAATTGAGCCAATTCTTAATCTTAAGTTATGTGATGGCATTCCTGCTAAATCCAGCGAGTTCAAAAACTCAACAGGATAGTTGAACGATTCATTTTAGAGACTTTAAAATTTTTAATCAAATCAAAGTAAGCATGGATAAATTTAAAATTTAAAATTTTAAATTTTTAAATGAAGAATTATATATATTTCAAGAACTTATGTTACGAATGCAAAGCGAATTAATATAAGCTCGTGCTGATAGTTAAGTCAAAAAGAAAAGGTATCTTAGTTTGAAAGATGAAATGCAAACTATAACCGATTAATTATTTACTAGCAGTAATTAAACTTTTCATCATAACCGAAGATGATGACAGAAAAGTCTTCATCTTCCTCATCCAAAGAAGAAGAGCGTAAAAAAGATGAGAAACAAAACGCTTCAATACCATTAATGGCACCATTAACATAATTAATACCATTAGTGTATACAGCAAAATCAGATCACCGACTGAGGATGACTTTACACCATTACCGAAGATGATGACAGAAAAGTCTTCGTCTTCGTCATTTAAGGAAGAAAAGCGTAAAAAAAATGAGAAACAAAACGTTGAATTCTTTCCATCAGCAACAAATGTACTTCTATTGCTAGCATATGGTATGAAGGATGCTATACGCACTAAGTGTCGTCAAATGCTTTGTAATGCGATTAAGTTTGACGACGGTATACCCAAAGGCTGTACAGATTTTGAAAAATTGGCTGCAGAATTGGAGGACGCTATTTATAATGTATTTAGAAATATCGATAAAAAATATATACGTCGAATACGATCAAGGGTGTTTAATTTAAAAGATCCTAAAAATCCTTCATTACGGCTGAATTATATAAGGGGTGTGGTATCTCCAAAAACTCTTGCAACGATGACGCCGGAAGAAATGGCAAGTGATGAAATGAAACAAATTAGAGAGAATTTCAGAAAGAAGACTCTAAAATGTGGAAATGATTGCAAGTTTTAAGGTTGCAATGGTTTTTTAGTATTTTATTAACACATAAACATTTTACTATATAATGTTTTAATTTCAGATTATCATGTTCCTATAATACCATTCATTAATTAATTTAAATTTTTGAAAAAATAAAATGTTCCGAATAGTTCTGACGCCTAATATCTCAAGTATTGTTAGAAAATAAAATATTCTAAAACAGAACTGATAATTTGTTCAATAAAAGCTAAAACAGAACAAAGAAAAGACTAATATAAAATAAGAAAAAAGGAAAACAACAGAGTTTAATCCGAACAGTTTGGGTAGAATGTTATATTCAAAATTTGTAACAATTATAAAATATTTCTCCTATATTAACGTCGAAAATTAATATTCAAGTAAATTCCCACTATTTGTACCAATAATCGAATGTACTGAGCTCTGAGTGAGTTCACTGGTTTAAACTAATTTAGTCTTGATTATTGCTAGTCAATATCCTTTACTTGAGATATAGACGCGCCAGCTGACACTCAATGACGGGATTCACATTAAATTTTGCACAATAGGGATGGCTTTGGACAGTTTTTTTTGGTTACACTATTTTCTAGTACGTCAGTGGAAACGAAGATATTTAAGGACATTTTAGACCAAAGCTAAATAAGTTTAATAAAAGAAAGTAATAATACTTAAAGCTTAATTATTTAATTTAGGACTTAAGACTGTCTTATCTTAAGATTTTTTTTTAATGATAAAATTCACGATTCGCAAGAACTGTAAGACTTACTTTCAGATGTCTGTCCAATACCCGTCTTACATTATATCAACATATTTCTATTTTCAAATAGAAATATCAAACTATTTTTGTATTAATTTTAAATGTATGAATAAGTTTTAAAATATTAAGTTTTATAGTTTTTTATGAAAAAACGTCGAAAATGTATGCAAATTAGAAATTGATAATTTTTAATAGCTTATTTCTCTGAAACCTTTCTAGATGAGTTAAAATTATTACGAAATTTAAATATTTCACTTCAAAATTATATGTAACCGATTTATATTCTATGAAGAATTAATTTAAAAAGCTTGGTGTTTTCTGTTGTAACTGAGGGTCCGCGTATTTGGTTGTAGAATAATAACACATTGTTACAAGAAAATCTATATATTCCTAGGTAATAATCTAAATGCTATATATCGTGTACCGAAATTTTCTTTTTTTACTTTTTCTGTTATAAAAAAAACTTATAAAATATATATAAAAAAGGTTTTTTTTTGCCTTTTATTAGCATTATATATTATACAAATGACCCATCCATAATAACATATATCTGTGTAATACATCCCCTCATATTAAATATGCATCAATAAAAGCATACATAATATGGTGGGTGTGTCCCACGAGGTACTCGTAGTAGCTTTCAGTAACTCTGTGTATACACAAGTGCGTTCCACCAGCAATTTTTCGTGTATTTTCGTGTAAATTTTACTTGTGTTTTACTTGGGTTTTACTACGAATAGTTCATGGAACAGATCTATTATATTTATTTAAAAACAGAAAATACATGCAATACAAATGCAGGCAATACTCTTCAAATACGTTTTCAATTGTTTTTTTCGACGGACACTGAAGAACACTAAAAATACACTACCTTCGGGAAAATATCGTTAAAAAGTTGACTACCTTCGTGAAAAGATTATTAAAAAGATCACTACGTTCGGGAAAAGAACACATTGCGAACATAAATTTTACAGAAGATGTCGGGAACAGTACACTAAAATTTTAGTTGCATTTTTAGTGTATTTTTTGAAAAGTTTTTTTGATTTGTATTGGATTTTAGTAATTTAGTGTACTGTTCGTTTAGAGTTTTTTAATAAAAATATAAAACCGTGCAATATGTTTGGTTCTTTACTGTTTGTTTTTGTTCACTGATTATTACTTTGATTGTGCCTTTCTCAATGAGCTTTCTTTTACTACGTAAGGCAGCCAATTTATTAGTTCCTTACAAGTTAATACTTACTTAGATAAAAATAATCTACAAATTTTGTCGTGAACGGAAATTTCAAAATTTTCTGCATTCTAAACATAGCTTCATTTTATATATCATTTTTATATTAATCATTTATTTTTATATAAAATGTAGTTTACTTGCATTTTGTACTCATGTGCAAGACTTACTCTTTGCGAAAACTTGACATTTGACAGATTACAACAGTGATGTCAATATGTTACTTAGTGACTTTATCAAGTGATTTGTTGCAACTTTGAGGCTTGAAGCTTCATCTGAATTTTTTTGATTTCAATATGCTTGCTCCAAGGTAGTCATCTGTCTAGGTGAATACCTAAGTACGTAATGTTATCTGCTTGTGGTGTGGGAGTGTTATTTAGTAAATTTGTTTGAGATGTACTCCGATTTAAGGTAAAAATGGCGTATGTACATTTTAGTTCATTAATTTTAATTCGCCATTTTGACTACCATTTCTCCACGCAAAATAAGCGAGATTGAAGTTGGTTTGAAGCTAGCACATCGGTTTTGTTTCGGCATAAAATTGCTGTGTCATCGGCAAACGTTGTGCTGACAGCTGAACTACTTATTGGGATATCAGATGTGTAAAGTACATACAAGTTAGGGCATAAAGACTTCCTTGTGGAATGCCAGCTTCTATTGGGAAATTAGAAGTACATATATGATTTACATTTAACTTTAAAGGCTTCACTTATTCGATAGTGATCCCTAAAACCAAACTGTTGGGAGGGTTTTAGGTTTTGATCGTCAAGGAATGGTATCAGTGCTCTTTCAAAGAGTTTAGAAAGACACGACAGTATGTTTATTGGCCTATATGAAGCGGCAAGCGTGGCATCTTTACCTGATGTACAAATCATAATTATAATCATAATCATAATGGCAGCGTTCGACTCTGTTGAGTAAAAGACAAATTTAATAATGACATTAAAAAGTCTTGTGATAAAATTAATTTCTGTATACATTTTAATTTTCAAGTTATATTAATTATTTATTTTAACACAAAATGTAATTTGCTTCCATTATGTGCACATATGAAAGACTTGCTATTTTCCAAAACATAACGTTGGACAGATTGTAACAGTAATGCCAATGTCTCTCTTAGCGAATATGGGCCATCATGCATTTTTTGCCACACTTGCGAGCCATCAAAAACGCTTACTATATAACATATCAAGAATTATAGTATTCGTGAGGTTATTATTATTATTTTGTTGCTAAATTATTGTTATTCATTCATATTCATCATAAATGCGACAAATGATTTAATAATCACAGAAGTGACATCATAGGAACTGTTGCCTGATTATCAACATAAAACTCCACATTTAATAGTTTTGTGATAGTTGCAGTTGCACAATTTCAGTAGATACAAGCTATTTATAGAATCTAACCACTTAGATAGATACAATCTAACGCACACCCTAAAGTGATCAGAGCATTTTTATTGAAAAAATACTTGTTGGTTTAATTAAATTATAATTTATAAAATCAAATGTCATTTGAAAGCTCTAAATGCTGTTTAGGCTAAAGTTGTCAAAGAAAATGGATTTAAATTCACATAAAAAATTAATACATAATGTATAAATAATTAAGTACCACTCTGATAAGCAGTAGGCAAAATAATACAGTAAAGATAAGCTATTATTACTTCAATCCCCGCCTCCAAATACAAATCAAAGTAAAATATTTCAATAAAAAAAAAAAAACAAAAGTAGTGGGACTCGAAATTTCAAACAAATATATGGTTTTGCGTGAAAATCTTTATTCATTGATTATTTAACGACTTCTTAAGTGGTTGCTTAAGTACACAAAAACTTG